TGCTTGCTACCATTGTGGTTTGGAACTTTCTACCGGACATTTTTTGTCAATGAAAGTTTTCCAGGTTAGTGAATGCTGATCATATGTTTACACTTTGCATCTGCCACAAAAAGCAAGTGTGATGCTCAGAAAAATGCAATGACTAGGTGGTAATAGACACAAGGACCTTTCTGCTGCCTAGGATCTCTGTGGTCCATCCCTCCAAGACTCTTCTTGAAAATAACATATTTCTTACTCCTCTGCAAGGAAAAGCTGCATGTTTCATATAGAGACATCAGTAGTTCAAGGACAAAAATTGCTTCCAATGATGTTCCTGACTATGAAAGCTCCTCTAAGATGCTGATGGAATGTTGATGATGCCACAACTTCTGTGTTGAGCAATGTGATTAAGTGCTTTGAATAGTGTGATAAGTGAAACATTGCTTTAAGCCCACAGACGGCATATGTAATTTTGTGTGTCATTCTTCCTCAAGCTACTATTTTGAGAACCTAGAATGATAGATAGATAGATAGATGAACAGGAGCTTGCCAATGCAGTAAGATTTTCACAGTCTTACTAGTGAGAAATAATTTTTAAAGGACAATTGATGTAGATGATAGGGAGAAGGATATGATCTTTATTTTTCTTTTCTTTATAAATTTCTCTCATGCTTCCCATTTCCTTACCATGGGCATGGGGAATGGGGAGGATGCTAGTGTCACCACTGTGCTATTTATGTCAACAGTTTACTTACAAAAAACCTCAAACAAATAAACACCATCCCCCCCAAAAAAAACCACCCCAAAAATGAAATAAAATCCCACAGCTGGCAAGTAGGCAGAAGAGGGAAACAGACAGACAAGATCAAGGTGGAGATTTCTCTATTTACATTAATCAGAAGAAAGAATTCTGTGTTAACAGAACTCTACAACTACTTCAGTTGACTAATTGGTTTAACTCCTTTGCAGACCCACCTCATTTCCAGTTCTAGAAATACTGTCTTTTAGTCAAGGATTAATTTTGCTGACTACTGAGAAGCAGAATCCCCTATTCTGAGCTGCCTGATGCACAAGCACATTTCCACATGCTGAGAGGAGAGTAGCCATTAAAATATCACAAACCTCCATGCTGAGTGTAGGTTTGGGAACTTCAGGGAATGCAGACAGTGCACTAAGTCAAACATCTGTAATTTGAGCTCTTTCACCTTCCATGAACTCACTAAATTGCTTTGCCTCTCTGACCAACCTCAGTGCTTTGACCACTAGAGCAAAGAAAATATTTCCAGGAAGAGAAAAAGAAACTAAAAAAAGAAAAAAAAAAGAAAAAGAAAAAGAAAAAAATCATCTCTATATATGAAGCTAACACAAATATGCTTCAGTGCTGGCATACAATATTACTCACAATTTCATTAGTGCCAAACATAGGGATCCTTCTATTGTGAGCATTTTCCTCTTCATAGGAAGAGGTGTGCACAATAGCCTAAAGGGGATCTGTTTGGGTTGTCAGAAATCCACAGGCCATTAAAGGGGTGGTACATTTATAGGTCCATTGACTTTCCACAGCAGTCTCAATATCCTTCAAAGATAGCCTTGGGAGCTAGTCACATAAAACCCAACATGACTCCAATGCATTTTATCATCCTTGGGAATAACTTCAGTCAAGATCTCTTAATGAACTGAATACATTGATACCATTTATATGCCTGAATGTTTTTAAGACTTATACATTTCAGAATATGAAAAAGGCTGTCATGCTGAAATCTGAAAATTACTTTTATAAGCCATAAGAAGCACTTATCTCACAAAAAAAAATGTTTCTCTATCCTTCAGAAGGCACTGGGATCCTTGTCATATCTTCTGTTAACTGCCTATGAGCTGTATCCAGCTAATAATTTAAACACCACTAATGAGTTCAGAACTAGTAGGGAAACAGGCAATATTCCAGGGAAGAAGTACCAAAACTATGTAATATATCAGGAAGTTTCATACTGAATGGACTATGAACTAGACCAGAAAAAAAAATAGTTTTCAATGAAGGTAAAGGCATGTTAAGAATCCAAGATCCTTATAGGAGCTGTATCCAGTTTTCAGGAAGCATGTTGCCATGTGAGAAACACCCAGAGGAAAAAAATCTTTCAGCACCAGTACAGTGAGGGGAGGGTAGAAATAGATCTTTTTCCTCTGTACAAGCCTGCCTCAAATACTGAATGCCAATGCTCTCATCATTTGTGCTCTGGGTTCAGATTCTTATATCCTGCCTTTATTCAAATTTCTGCATGAGGTTGGGTAGTTGGCAAACATTACAGGGATCAGCGTCTTAATACAGCACCCCAGAATGTCAAAAAGCTTCTGCATTACAGTCTGCTGACCAAATTAATAATTCAGGACGTGCAGGAGGGACCACTCCCAAGGTTTTTTTCAGGACAGTGTAAGATTCCTCCTGCCTCCAGCTGACGTATTTGCAAGACTTCTCTCTCATACAGACAGGTATGCAGGTCCAAAAGAAAGGAGAGGCAATGATAGACAAACCCAGATCCTCCCAGTGTGTCTAAAAACATTGCACAAATGTTACCGGCTGGGTATTAAAACTATTAAAACCTATTCTGAGACACATTCTCATTGCATTCTCAAACAAAGAAAAACAGCACACGTGTTACACTCGATGTGTATCACACAGGGAGGGAACCATCTATATTGCTTCTTTCAGAGCTGGAACAAAGTGTTCAGGAAAGTCTGGTGTTGTTGCTTTGAATACTGGGCTTTTCTGAATTCCAAATAATTTTACTATATTGGCTACACAATGTGCAGGCTTTGTCCTTTTTTATTCCTGTCAGTGACTTTCTGTGTGTGAGAATCTACTTGCGTTTTAATGATAATGGAATTTCCTAATATTTAAGGATGTGTAGAAAAACAGGATAAAATATGGAGAGAAAATGGCTCTTTTATAGATACACCTAACATATGAAAAAACCTAGGCACTAATCTGCACCAATGCATGTGGAGGACACCAAGTGTGATACTCACTGCTGCCCTGTAGGCAGGCTGGGCAGTCTCTCTATCCTGGACACAGCCTAATTCCATCTTTCATGGTAAGTGTCAGCCTAAGATGGTCTGTCTACTTGTCCAGCTTTGTTTACATCGTGCTAATAGTAATACACCAATTTTTTATAGTGCACTAGGAGTCAGAATTTAAACAGCAGAAGCCAGTGGCATCTCTGATTTGATTCCTAAAAAGTACTGCTGTATTTGCACTGCCTTTTGGGCACAGCAGAATAACATGCCTTTCCCAAGATGCCACACTGCAAGCAAGTAGAGCTGGGATTGCAAATCATTCCGATGTCATAGTTTAGAAATCTAGCCAAAGGCAGCCTGTAATTTTGGGAGCCTGATATTCCCATCTTGTCCTACAGGCTAATCTCCCTTGCTGGGCCCTGTCTCCCAATTCACTAAGCAATACCACAAATCAAGGGAATTAAATATAACCCTTCCCGTGCAATAGGAGATAAAGTCATGATTTACAAGAACAAAAAAAAAAGATAGTCTGAACTACATCTTCTGTGAGGAAATGTGACACTGGAAATATTGTCCATTGCTTTGCTGAACAAAAAATACCACCTTTGTTTTCCTAAAAACTCATTCTAATTATGTTTGAATAAAGCATAATAATTTTTTTTACTTTCATTTTCTATTTAAAAAATCAGTTTCTGCAGGTTCAAAACTTTCCTGCATATTATTTAGATTTTTACAGAAAATATATTTTCTGTTAAAAAAAATGTAGATAGAATATTTTGAGAATATGTGAATTGTGGAAATAAAATTTTAGAATGAGAAAAAAAGTTGGAGACCTTTAGGAACAGAGTAAGAAATTTTTATTGTATATTTAGAGAAAAGTTTTCCTAGAGTACACATTGATCCACTATTTTCTTCATCTTTGAACTTCTTGAATCTCTATTTTCCACTGGGATGAGTTCAATCTACTGTATGCAGACACATTTTGCTGAGAAAAGCAGCTGCTTGTTCCAAGTCTGAATTAAACACATAGGAACATTTGTTATTCTTTAGGAATATCTTTAGGAAGCAGGTGAAGACATGTCTGTAGCTTTGACCTAACATGTAACTGAAACCAGTGATCGGTTTATAACCTAAGAAGCTGCAGGAAGAGTAAGAAGCCACCTTCAGCTTTTGTTCTCCTCCCAGCTTTGTGGGCATAAACCGCAATTCAGAGGAGAGAAGAGGCACTCTGTGGTGGTGTCTGCAGGTGTTTGGGGAGCCAGAGAGTGGTGCAGAGGCTGTACAGTGCTCCTTACAGTCTTTAGTGATACTCTGCATCCTCAACTACAGTCTGTTGAGTGCAGAAATGCATGTGAAATAGTTCTTGATCACGCCTCAAACCCAGCCATTAGATTCCTTGTCATTCTGGGCTGCTTGTAGTCATGAAAGACTACCACTTATCAGTGTTAGAATATCCCTAGGCTCAGCATTTGTAGCCTGTTCTTGCTCCTCTAAATTAGCTTTTGCTGTTCTGGAAAGGAATTTTCTGTCTCTGGGGCATTTCTCTTGAAATTTTCTGCTCCCTGCCAAGCAGCAGTCAAGAATCAAAGTATGAATTATTAAGAAGGGAACAGAAAAGAAAGTGAAAAGCATCACTACGAACAGGATGAAGGAATGGTCCCTGACAATCTCCTGAGGTTTAACAAGGCCAGGTGCTGGTGCTGCCCCTGGGTCAGGGCAAGCCCTGGTGCCAGCCCAGGCTGGGGATGAACAGATGGAGAGCAGCCCTGCCCAGAAGGGCTTGGGGGTGCTGGGGGTGAGAGCTGGACATGAGCCAGCCATGGGCACTCCCAGCCCAGACAGCCAAGAGTGTCCTGGGCTGCATCCAGAGCCCCGTGGGCAGCAGGGCAGGGAGGGGATTCTGCCCCTCTGCCCCACTCTGCTGAGAGCCCACCTGCAGAGCTGCCTCCAGCCCTGGGGCCCCAGCACAGGAAGGACATGGAGCTGCTGGAGAGAGCCCAGAGGAGGAACACCAAGGTGATCACAGGGATGGAGCTCCTCTGCTATGGGGAAAGGCACAGAGAATTGGGATTGTTCTGCCTGGAGAAGGTTCTTAGAGGAAGCTAATTGTGGCCTTCCAGCTCCTGAAGGGAGCTCATAAGAAAGATGGAAAGGGACTTTTTACAAGGCCATGTAGAGACAGAAAAAGGGGGAATGGCTTCAAACTGAAACTAGGTTTAGATCAGATATTAGGAAATTCTTTACTTTGATAATGGAACAGGCTATCCAGAGAAATTATGCCCGTCCCATCCCTGGAAGTGTTCAATGTCATGATGAATGGACCTCTGAGTAATTTGGTCTGGTGGAAGGTGTCTCTGTCCACAGCAGGGGTGTTGGAACTGCATGATCTTTAAGGTCCCTTCCAATCCAAGCCATTCTGTGATTCTATGACAATAAATATGCAATGTACCTACACGCTGAATATTTAGTGCCACTTTGGTAGCCTTCATTTTGTAGTCAGAAAGTTATGATAAAACTGCAAAGTATAAAAAGAAAAAATAAAGGCAAGAAGACAAAACCACAGCACAAAATAGAATTTTTATGAGAGAACATGTTGGACTAGGAGACTTCAACCTGGATAGGAGGCAATAATATATACAAGAAGGGTCTATAAAATCTTTAGTAGTTCAAAGAAGGTGACTAAGAAGTGATCATTCACTATTCTTATAATACAAGAGCTGAGGGTCACCCAATCAATCATGAAGTTTAAAATACTCAGTGGAAATATTTTATCACTTAATGCATAAATTATGGAACTTACTTCTGTAGAGTGTTGTGGAGGTCAGTAGAGTAAATGGGTTCAGAAATGGATTAGAAAAATTTAAACACCATCATCTGGTTGCCTACCAAAGGTCTTTAAGCCAGCGACTGCCAAAAAGGAGAAGGATATATGAGGAGAAAGACTATTCTTTGCTTCTTTTGTAAGTTCCTCTGTCTTCTCTTACAGGTTACAGGCTGTCAGAAAATGAGCTGGATTGCCTGAGCAGCTACAAAGGATTTGCTTTTTTGTTTACAGTTCTCTCAGTCATTATAGATGCTCCTTTTTAAAGGGCATGTAAATTGTATCTTGCAGCTTTTTTTGACAAGTGCAAGTTTTTAAGAACACTTGATAAACAAAAGTCAAATTTCTTCCTTTTTTCTTCTAGGCTATCAGTGAATTGAATGCTGAATCTCTCTTTTTCCATCTTGGTTAAAAAGGTCAGACATGCTTAATCTAATTTTCTAGGTAATAGCAATTGGTACTTGTGTTGGTTTGAAAGACAGGTGTCTGCCAAGAAAGGCAGAAGCCTTTTTTTAAAATGGAGAATGTAAACACCCTCCCTCCAAATTATTATAATTTCGCAATTAAGAGGCTCTCAGGCAAAGATATGGGAATAGGAATAACAGTTCTTTACCAGAAAAATTAAAATAGAAATACAGTATTACAAAGAACAATCCCAAAAACACTGACAAAATACAACGCCATCAATCAGGATGTTGGTAGCAGTCCCATTAAATGGTGGCTGCAGTCCTCCTGGATAACAGATGTGGTTCTGTTGAAGCAGTGTTCCTGTAGAAGGGTGCAGTTTTCCTCCAAAGGTCCAGTGGTGATGTTGAAAGGTCCAGTTTTCCTCTGGAATCCAGTAGAAAAAGGGTGCCTTGGTGTTTGAGATCTCAGTTTTTATCCACGTAGGAAATGCTTGGCTCCTCCCCCTGGGTGGAGCATCTCCCAATGGGATGATGTGATTTTATCAGTCATGCAGTGGGACTCAATGGCCCATTAACAGAAGATATCCTCCTGGAGGATGGGTTGTAGAAAAGATGAAGATGACTGTCCCACCTGATCTTAACAGATGGCCCATTAGCAGAGGATATCTCCCACAGGGATAAGGATCACTGCCCCACCTGGTTTCAGCAGATGGTGATAGAATACATACTCCTGGTCACATCCTGTACTGCAACCCAAGACAGTACTTCGCCTAAGACAAAATCTTTCTTCTCCATTGGCATTGTTTCCAACAAGTTTATTTTGCTTAATTATATCCCACTTAATTTTGTTCAAAAGATCCATGCTACTTTAAGCACATTGATGGAAAATTAAAGTTGGTATTTAATTTCCTTCATTGTTTGTTTGTTAAATTTTGTTTGGGGTTTTGGGGTTTTTTTGTTGGGGTTTTTTGGGGGCGTTGGGTTTTTTTTAATTTGTTTGTTTTTTGTGGAAAGAGGCAGAAAGTTATCTTTCCATACCCTTCAGTTATTGCTATAAATGTTTTATGTCTTCAATTGCTATCATGCCATGGTAGATATCCAAATACATCTCCCTTAAGTTAAATGCAGTGTTGTCACAGAGGCACTTATGGAAGGTTTTGCCCCCTCTACACCTAATTAGATTCCAAATTTGCTCATCTAATTGACTCAAAACCGTTAATTCAAGTACATAAACAGTAACTTTCATAATATTCTTTGTGCTCCTGTGCTATTTTCAGCTGGGGTTGAGATAATTTTCTTCTTAATGGCTGTCATAGGGCTGTGTTTTGGATTTGTGCTGAACACAGGGTTGATAATTCAGAGATGTTTTTGTTGTTGTTGAGCAGGGATTGCACAGATCCATGGCCTTCCCTGCTTTTCACACCACCACCCTGGGGAAAGGGCTGGGGGTACCTGGGAGGTTGGGAGGGGACACAGACAGGAACAGGTGACCCAAAACTGACCAAAGAGATGTTCCAGACATTGTGACATCAGGCTCAGCATATAAAGAGAAGGAAGGAAGAAGAGGGGGACATTTAGACTGATGTTGTTTGTCCTCCCACATTACCATTAGCATGATGAGACCCCATGCTGCTGGAAATGGCATAACAGCTGTCCAACCATGGGAAGCAGTCAACTGATTTCTTGTTTTGCTGTTCTTGTTTGCACGGCTTTTGTATTCCTTACTAAACTGTCTGCATCTCAACCCATGAGTTTTGTAGTTTTTACTGTCCTCATTCTCTGCCTGGTCCTGCTGGAGCAGGAGTGATGGAGCAGCTGCCTGGCGCTGGGCTGGGGTTAAGCCACAACAGCCCCACATGCAAGAAAAACTTGTTTAACTGAGAATGTTGGTGATAGTGTATTGCTTTGAAAGATAGGTGTCTGCCAAGGGAGGCAGGAGCCTCCTTTGGGATGGTAAATGTAAACACCCCTCCCTCTGAATTAGCATAATTTTGAAATTAAAGGGCTGTCAGGCAAAGACACGGGGCTAGGAATAGCAGCTCTTTGCTGGTGGGTACAGCAAGGCACCCAGACAGCACCAGCGGTGTCACTGACACCAACCAGAACAGGAGCCCAGCTCAGCCCTCTCGGCCGCGGGCACTTTCCCCTTGCTGCAGTTCCCGTCACCGCCGGCAGGGGGCGCCGCTGGCTCCCGGTGGGCGGGGCAGGTGCGCTGATCCCCGCGCGCCGGCAGGGGGCGCTGTGGCGCGGGCTCGGGGAGCAGGCGGTAATGGCGGCTGGGCCCAGACGGGAAGGGATGGAAAAGAGAGGCTTTGCTTCAGCAGCCCTGCGGCGGGGCCGGCCCCACTGCTCCAGCAGGACTCACAGGAAAAGAAAATCAGCAAACTGGTCCAGCAGGAATGAGCAGAAGCCCCGGGGTGGTGGGCGAGCTGTATCAGAAGCTCTGTGGCAGCAGCTGGAGCTGCGGGATGTCCCGGCAGGGCTGGGGCTGCGGGGCTGCAGCGCACAGAAACCCAGAGCAGCCCCAGAGGAGCGGCAGGGCTGGGGCAGCGGGGCCGGCTCCGAACGGGGCAGGGACAGGGGACCGGGATTCCCGGGAACACGAGCAGATAGGGATAGGTTGTAGCAACGGGGAACAAAGCGACACGGGCCCCTTTCTGCATCCGAAGCAAATCGCTTTATTGCAGAAATCACCGCCCTTTCACACCTTTAATCTCCACCTGACATCACCGAAACCAAACCGAGGCCTGACAGACCTGACCAGCAGGAGGGCACCCATTGGCTGGCTCAGCTGCCGTGCTGCTGTCCCCGCGTCCTTCCACCCAATCAGCTTCCCGCTCTTACGCTGTCCCCTCGCTCCTCCAGCCAATCAGGATCTCACTCCCAGCTGTCACTCAGCTGACTCCGCCCTCACTCGCCTTCCCCTCAGCGACTCCCGCCCGTCCGGCCTGCAGCTCTGCCGGTTCCGCAGGGCCTGCTGGTGGCCGTCAGCCTTCACTGCTGTAACAATTATAACCCCACATCCTACAATAGGTTCTTCTTTTAGTGAGGTAGGTGATAATAAGGTCCCAGTTCAGTGGCTGCTCTCAGGAGCAGAGGCTCACCTTATAGAAGAAGAAGCAGGACCGAGCTGGGCTCTGGCAGCAGCAGTTTGGACCATCCTCCTCTGAAGCCGCAGAGTGAGAGAGCTGGCAGCTGCCCCAGCCCTCCTCTTCCTGCCCCAGATCCCCCGGTATCTCTGTCCCTCGGAGAGAAACTCCCCAGGTAAGAGAAAATGCAGCCAGATGCCTCCTTCCCTCTGAGTTTGACCACTTCGATTTCTTTAGTACCCGTAAGTGCCCAGTAGTCAGTGTTTAGTAGCAACTTATGGGAGAAATTCTGTAGATAAGAAGTGTAAGAAAATTACATTCACCTTTTAAAATTTCAAAGGTTTTTTAAACCTTGAGAAAATACCACAGGTCTGAATAAGGAAAGAGACACAGTGCCAGGAGTATATGCCTATCTGCTACTTGCTCCCTTACGAATCGGATGCTCTGGTTTTTATACCCTTGGCCCCTCCCAGAGCCTTGTCAGTCGGCTCCTTCTCTGCCTTTTCTGGTGGAAATCACTTTCTGACAACTGGATTGGAGGTCACATGTTGCCATGCCGCGCCTCCTAGTAACAAGCCTGCCCTCCCCAGAATGCCCCAGCTAGTGGCAGCAATACGAGGGGAAAGGGAAAGAAGCCTGTAGGGAGAACAGACCAAAACAATATCTATAAAATTTCTCTTAACATACACATATATTCATCTCTTAATTGTGAGACCCAACCATTGCATTGCCTCTCTATAGAAGAAGGAACAAAAGAAAAGGAACCTAACTCCTAACATATAGAAATTTTGAATGTTGCCTCACTTTGTGCATTTTGCCGAGTCCAACCTTCTCTAACATAGAAGGATGCTTGAAATTCTCTCTTTAAGGTCATGCAAGCTCTGTGTCCAGGTCCTGGCTTCCCAGTACAAGTGAGACAACTACAACCAAAGAGCTCAGTGAAGGTCCCCAGAAGTGCTTATGGCCTTGGAGCGTCCTTGAGAACAGGCTGAGAGAGCTGGGATTGTTCAGTCTGGAGATGGGAAGGCTCACAGGAGACCTCATCAGTATGTGCAAATACCTGAAGGGAGGGTGTCGAGGATATTGTTCCAGGTTCTTTTCAGTGCTGCCCAGTGACAGGACAAGACACAGCAGGCACGAACTGTATAAGCAGAGTGTAAGAGAGAGTCCAAAGTTTCCCTCATTTTTGCCTCATGACCATCACAAGAAGACCTCAAGTACCCCTACCTGGGTTGGCTTTGTATTGTGGTTTTGTGTCCTGGCCAAGGTGGATGCTTGCCAAGGGATTGTGTGCAGGTGTGTTGTGCTCACTGGACTGTGCCATCATGGTACCAACTGGAGCCTGCATGTGCTGCACGAGTGTGCCTGTCTTCTGCAGCACAATGCTCCATAAATCTCCCCACCTCTCGGCCAGAAGCCACTCGCTTTGGAAAAGGACTATAAAAGAGTGACTCTCTGGAGAAGCTTTTGGGATCCCCCCCTGGATGAAGACCCATCCATTGGTTGGACCACGAGGATGTCTGTCTCATCTGTTGGTAGCTATTTCTCCATTCCCCTCTTTTTCTCTCTACACTTTGTTTCCTGTATCTCTCCCCTCTATCACAACTGAGCTGTTTGTATTCAATAAAAATGCATTGCTGTGAGTAAGCTGATTTTGTCCCCTGCCATTTGCCTTTTGCACCTCTGAGATCAAACGAACCATCATGACCCCCACCGTGTATTAAGTGGATCGTGACACAGAGGAGTCACCATCTGAGCACTGTCAAGCTCTTTTTCACTGAGTGTGGCCAAGTACTGGCCCAGGTTGCCCAGGCAGACAATGAAAGAAAAGAAACTAAAAAGGATGACCATAAAGTAAAACCTGTTGTACCCAGATATCCTGCATTCCCATATTTCTGTACTTCTCTTTCATACTTCTCTGTAAAGTGCTGCAAAATAACCAGTAGAGAAAATGCAAATGAATGATAGAGTCTTATTTCCACATAAAGATAGATAGTTGGACTTTTTATCCTTTACTTATTCTCAGAATGATCCACGTAACTCCATGGATACTATCTATTGAGATTCCTTTTCCTTCCATTCCGATTCCTTTTCCTTTCGCATATGGTTATGGTTCCTGTTCAAAATTTTAGCTGATTGTTACATAAAATTTGGTGAAATATGCTGTCTCCTTATACTGAAATAGAGAAGTTTTTGTTAAAAGTTTTTTGATACTATTTTATTACTGGCCTGTGACATGGTAGACCTTAGGTCAAATCCTTGCTCTGCTTAATTTGAAATTTTCCAGAGTAAAAAACCTAGAGGCAGAGAATTAAGCCTGACATCTGAGGTCAGTACCCTAACCATGGAATTATAAAGTGTGATAGAGTTAGTGTTCCCTTGTAGAATGTATTTTTTTATAAAGAAGCTCAGAAAGTAATTTTTTTAATCCACTGAAGAATAAATCCCGACTGTGGATTGACAAATGCTACCACAGAATGAGACTCCTCATGCAGTCAACTCAATTTTAATACCAAGAATTTGATTTTTAAACATTCACTTTCCTATTTTTAGCTTTCATTTACTCCCTAATCTTTGAGAAAATGAATGGTCTGTGATTTAAGCATTTAATTGTAATTCAAGAGCCAGCATTATCTTCCTGACTTTGACAAAACTTTCCTTTGTGCCTTCCCCAGGCCCTGTCACTGATCTCTGTGGACCTCTGCTCCTCACTCGTAAAATAAGGTATGAGGCCTCGTTCTGTCTTGACTTCTACTGTGAATGGAATGAAATGATAAATTATTCTTGTCCTTTACTCAGTGCTCAGGTGAAGCCTGTTTAGACTGTTGTATCCAGATTTGGACAACTGTAGTCCAAGATAAATGGATCTAAATGTAAAACATTTCATGAAAAGTAGAAGAAGTACCAGAGGTACTGAAAAAAAAATAAGTCTTGATGAGAAATTCTTGAATAAACTGCAGTTCATTAACGTAAGAAGAAGCATGGAAGAAATTGTTCTCCCCACCTTATGGTGGACGTGATAAGAAATAATGATTTTAGGTTTTAAACAGATTTAGATTAGTTGTTAAGGATTATGTTATGTGTTATATGCTGATGATATAAGTACAGGCAAGGCCTGGGGATATTTCCCAAAGAAGTCTGGGGCTCAGGATTTTTAAAAGCTTACTAGGTCAGCATCTGCTGTAATTATAAACAGTCACATGCCTCCCATAATCTTACTAATACATACCAGGTAGTGTTATTAATTAATTAAGGTTACTGGAAATTCTTTTCCATCACTGACTCTTACATTAATATCCTCTAATTTGCAATCTAAGTAAGGACATGTCTGCAATTATCCCCAAGAATACTGAAGAAAGGATGGCCAGCTTGTGAAAGGGAAATACATCCATTTTCAGTAGTTCTCAAGATGGTAGTAGCTTTAAACACCCAGATTATTTATTTGCAATATTCCTAAAATCTCTGAGCACAAAGGGAAATTATCTAATTTGGTTGACTCTGAGTTTCATTTACCTCATATGAAACTGGCAGGTGTTTCAGAGATTCTTAGCTGGTTTTCCTGAAGACTTAAAACTATGGGCTGTACTTACAGATGGCAAACCAGGATAGAAAAGTGCGTAATTTCTTTGTAATACAGACCAATCTTTGGGATCATTTAGATGAAAAATTATCCCTGAACATACTTATTATTAATTTATCCAGGAAGAAAAGAGCTTAGCCCTTCTTCTCAGAAAAATGAGCCACTTAAAAGATGTTAATAACTCGTAGGCTTGACCTGAATGATTCCCACTGCCTCAATATGTCATTAATAACTTATTTCGGACTTAGCTAAAGCTTAAGAATTTAATACGCTATGAAGCACAACAGCTCTTTCCAATGAGCTGATCCAGGAACTCTGTAGAAAGATTTTAATATGTAAATCTTATGTTCCATACACATGTTTTTCTTCCTCTGGGCTTGTACTCTTGCCAGCATAGAGCCACTCCGATTGGAACGGACACTTCAAATAACACTGCAGGGAACACAATATACTACCCTATAGTCTTGTGGTCAGCAGAGGTTCAATGTTGATTTCCAGGGGAGTTAGGAAGGATGAAAAGATTTTGGGAAATACATGTGAACACTCTTTCTGAGTAGCAGTTTGTGCAATAGTGGTTTTGCTCCTCTCTGTCCATCCATCATTGTGAATACCAGCAGAACAAAAAAAATACCAACAGTTACTTGCTCAAGAGTAAGCAGGTAAGACAAACTTCACTAATTTAGTGTTAAATTTGTTATAAATTTACTCCCCACAATCGGGTAGGCCGATCAATAAGGCAATTTATTAATTGGTTGATAAGGAAGGGGCAAGCAGCACTGGGGCTGCGGGGAGTCTGCGCTCCACCAACACGTCCGTCCTGCCCCTGGTCACTGCCCCTTCTATCGGCAGCTTCTGGCGGGGCCGTGTCGTGCTCACTGTGCTGGGGTACAAGCCCGGGCAAGCCCAAACACGTTGGCTACCATTGAAGCAGCAGTAGGTGCCCACCAGGTCTGGACAAGGCCCAAACACGTTGTGAGGTTACACTCCTGGCAAGCAGGTAACAGCAGTGACAAGTCTGTTCATGTCCACTCAAGCCTGGGTTTTTCTTTATACATAAAAAGTGGGTACAATTCATAATTATAGTGATAAAATAATAAAAAATACATGAAAACAAAAAGCCAGTAATTTACAGCAAAGTGATTTAAACCAATATAATGAAATCATTAGATTTCCCTTTGTCTCATGTCCACGCTTTACTTTGGGTTTAGTATTTTTGTTTATATTGATCTCATAGTGTATATTTATAATGACACAAATATGTAACATCTCACATTTTTGAATAATACAATATGATCCTCTATTAAAAATGCAACTGAATTCTCTGTGGATTTAAAGTCCAGAACAATGTCTCCTTCAAAGCAAATCTAAAATAGGTCAACTAAGCTATAACCATTTTACAACAACCACATAAAATGGTGATATTTGAACCAGAATCAAACTAGCCAATGGCATGTGTGTCCTAACCAATGTCCTTGCTCATTGTAACTCAGAAGCAGATCCTTTAGTTGAAACTACCTCTGTTTTTTATTTAAAACAGATCCCATCTATGAGATGCACTGCAGTCAGCATTCCAAAGGGGTGGTCTCAGCCATGAGCACACCTCAGCCACTGTTGATAACGCAGACAACTCTTCTATCTTTGTGTCTGTGGTTCTCCTCCCATAATGCTTCCCATACTACATGTTATCACCTTTAACAACTCACATTCTCTCTGAGTTCACAGAAAATCATAGCTAAACTCTAAACTAGTCCATAGTGAATAACTCAGAATACCTCCTCACCTGAAAATAACTACAATTTTCTGCATGAAACGTGCAATAATTTTGCTAGCAGCTGAATATATTTCAGAGAATAACCAAGAAATAGAAACCTTTCATTAAATTCAAGATTTTTTTTTTTACAATACCAGAAAAGTGTGTTTTCAGATTTTTGTGGGCAGAGTTGGAAAAAAATTGGCTTAGTGATTTGAGACTTCCTACAGGAGGTATTTAATTTTGAAACAGAAAAATCAAATCTCACAGCTCATGAATTTTGTTGGCATAAGCTATTGAAAATTAGTTTGTCCAAGAAAACCATGTTATGCATGTGTGGGAAAGAGAAAGAAAGGCTCAGAGGGAGATTAGATGATGTTTATGTCTGTTGTTAATGGAAATCAGTCTCCATTCCAGTTTCTAAGCTCACAAAAATATTTCTTTTGAAATTATCTCAGTTAACTGTTGTTGAGTTGTTATGGGGGAAAAATTGTTCTATTTGAAACACAGAGGGAAATCAGGTGAATTGTAAGACCACAACTATATCAAAAGCATTAAAAAATAAAAGTAGAGCAGTCATCCTTAAGCTTCTTTTCATGTTCCCTTGCAAAACAGGAACTAGTGGAGTTTTTTAAGATTCCCCTTAAATACTAAAAGATAATATTGTGCATATGAAGATGTAGGTATTAGTCTTCTACCAGTTTGAGCCTACACCATGCAAAAATGCCTTCTGAAAGATGCTCTTGTTTACTGCTATTGCATTCTGGCTACAGGTGACATGATGACTCTAAGAGGGAACATAGCATTCTCCTGGATGACTGGATTAGACAACTAGTAGTGGAGGTCACTGTATAATCACGTTTAATTTAAAAAAAAATGTCCTAGAGGATTTTTTTATGCTTGCATATTCAAAATTAGAGATATAAATTTAGAAAGTTACTGGTGTTTGTTCAAATTTAGAGGAACTTGAAACCAACACACCCTGTTTAAATATAAAACATGCATAGCTTAAAGCTCGTGGAAATAAAATTTCCATATGCAATATTTTGTATAGCAGCAAAATATTCTATCCATGCTAAAGAAAAATTACATCATAAGAAAAAACATGTATGTAACAATATTACTGAATCATTCTGTCTAGCTCCACCAAACGTAATTTCTGGTTATCTGAACTTAATAATTTTGGGTTTGAACATTATTGTGTATGTATTTCTATTCAAAGTGTTCTAAATGAAGGAGGAGTATTTTGTTCCAACTGAAATCAATTTCAAAAGCTATCAAGTTTCAAGAAAGGACTCCATTACCCAACTATTTGTGATTATGTATGGCTTGAGAGAAAACCTGAGAAAATTGAAGAGTTACTGTGTAGAAGTATGAGTGTAATTATTCAGATTTTGATAATGCTACATGTTTTCTGTGTCCACTAGTAGAATCTGGCCTAGAACTTTAAAGAAAAATATACAAGCTGAAGATGACTAATCTATTTTGAAAAACTATAAAAGGCATATTATTGACCCTAGTAAGATCTTATCTAGGTTTTACTGAAGACCTTTGAAAGCAGACTCACAACTAAAAATACTGGATGTGTTTAACAGTTGCAGTTAGTTAATTTGTTCCTTCAGTCATAAATGCACAAATAACAGAGAGGCAAAGAGAAGAAATAGAGGAAAAAAGATCCAAAATGATAGATAATAGGCAAGGTTTACAAAATAATCACTGGAAAATTAATTAGTTGAGAACAAGATGTCACACAGAATAAGAATGAGCAATGTAGCATGGCATGCAGAAAATCCATTTCTCTTTCAGGAGAAATATATATAAAATATACTGCAAGGTATCTTCCAGCTTTAAATAAAGTATTGTCACATCAAAAGTGAAAAAAAAAGAGATGCTAAGAAAAACAAGCACATTTTAGCAACAGAGAGAGAAGTAAATATATTTATAAGATGGTGTTTGTGTTGGTTTTTTTTCCTAAGTGGAGATACCTGTGATGAAATGCAGCAAAGAGGCACAAGAAGCTCTCCCCATATGGCAGGAAATGCAAAGAAGGCTGTCTGCCCACTGTGTCATACCTGAAGAGGGAGCAGACAGACAATGGAGCACAGAATCCGAGGAGGGAGCTGAGTAAAGATTGGGAGATACAGGGTCTGTTAAGAGTTTGAATGGCTCTGTGAAGGTTTCGTATTCAGGGGTGAAACTTCACACTCATTCTCAATGGAAACCGATGGCCCCACGTCACAGTTCTCTTGTGGTGAGAAGTGGTGAAGGTGGTTGCAGGCAAACAAGACAGACTGGACAAAATACACTTCAAAGTTGCTTCTGGGAGGTGGGGCAGGAAATAGGGGCCATCGGAAGAGGAAGAATAGCACAGAGATTGTCTTACTGAAGAAGCATTAAAAGTGTGATAATGATATAGAATGTCTATAAATTTCTTTTGCTATATTACCAATTGCAAATTGTTTATATCCTCCTATGAATACAGAATGGGTTTACTTTCTTGGCTTGAAAAAATGGTGCTTTGACAGAATAGTAAATAACAGTCAACTAGAAATATGACTAAAAATAAAGGTATGTAAAATTTAATGTGTCACTGTACTTACTAACATTGTAATTAAAGTCAATGATTTACAAGCTTTAATATCTTAGAGTAGATCATCATTATACTCCTTTTCATAAAAATAGAAACAAGTTTGTTTCACACAAACTTTCTCTTTGCACACTCTAAATCTTATATAAAGAAATAACAATGTATTAGAACTGTGATAGAAAATCCATAAATTTGATATGACCTGCTTGAAAATCTACTAGAGTGATGGCAAATAATAAAAATGTTCAGTCAAGTATGTACCAGCAAGTCACAATTCCTTTTAAAGCCATTAGTGATTCAATAAGAGAGCCATATGGCTCTTCTCTAGTTATCTAAACTCAGCTACAGGCTTCTTGAAGAATATTTGTGAAGAGTCTCTATCACGCTCGAATGTCACACAGCTAATTCATCCCTCCAATCTGTTTATAAAGACAGATGGCAATATGTTAGTTTGTCATTAAAAAGGAAAAGAAAATGGACAGCAATGTAATAACGATATCTAGACATTTGCTTGAAAACCTGACTGTTGCATCACTGCACATCCAGGTGCCCTACAGAATCACAAAACACTCTTTTGAGGGTGACCTACCAGCAGCTATCAAAAACAGTGTTCTAAATACCTTGAAAGGAAACATGCCCTGGACATCTCAGCAAGTGATATCCTGGCAAAGATATAAAAAGCTAAGCATTAGAAGTCCTTAAATGAGGAGGGGAGGAAGGGAAGTAAGACAGGAAAATCTTTTGATTTCCAAAGGACTTGAAATTGTATCTTGAGTTTTCCATTTGCTTTGCTGAGGTGGTTGAATCACCTTGAATTTAATATGCTCCAAATCCAGGAACTTAATGGTTAATTTCAGTTTATAACTTCATGTCAGAAAGAGAAACATTTCCTAATTAAAGTTAGTTTCAAAAGAGAAATATTCATCTGCCTTGACTGTAGTGCTGCAAATTCTGAGTTCCCCTTCTATAAAGGGATAAAAATTGCAGTTGACTCTCTGTCTTCATCAATAGTTTCCTAAACTAATTTCAGATAGAATTAATTTTAATGTGTGCATACCCCACTCAAAGTATTGTAGTTACCTTTTTACTTAAATTACATAGGAATTCAATAACTTTTTAAGAATGTAAAGAAATTAAGAATGTATAGAATGCCTCTCTTAAGAATGTAATTTACTGTGTCGCCATATCTAAATTCCTCATGATGAAATGAATGACAGAAAAACTTCTAGCCCAACACCTCTGTACTGTTAAGGCCTGTAAAATAACTTGTTACAAAAGAAAGTGTCATTTTATGCATTCAAATTTGAAGAATGTAACTATTTTCCATAACCAGAAGTCTTGTGCCCTACATTCTACCATTCTAAATTTCAATAAGCAATTAAATTAACCCAATGTATTCTGTACTTCTTTAGATAAATACCCTGCTTTGTTACCTCTTTTTTCTTTCATAGCAAAAGCTACTGGTGAAAACACTTTGATTTTCCATATCCTGTATAACATATTACATAATATTCTCCATGCAAGCTTCTATAGTCCAGACAATGAAATATGAGTGCAGAAAACAAAAATACAGAAAATTACCCTATTGAATTTTTTTGTCTATGCTCCATGTTCATTTTCACTGAGACTTATGTCAATTAGAAATAGGATCTGGGTATATGCTTGTTTAGCTTTAGCTTTTTAAAGCTGTCCAGAATTGCTCTAATGCTCTAATTGCCCTAATGTTTTCTTTCAGATATTCCTCAAATTACAGTATAAATAGGTTCTCTACCCTCTCTATACTTTCTTGTCTGTAATCTGAGATGGAAAGCAATTTTTAAAATTTCTTCTCCCAACAGCAGCCTAACGTCTTCAGCCTAATTTCTGCCACGGATATTATGACTTGTATACACAAATATTTTTTTAATGTCTTCCCGTGGACAATAATTCTGGTAGACTGGAAAGGTATGCACCTCTATTTTTTGATGATGTTGGTATGTTCCTGAAATGCAGAGCTGGCCATACTAGTTTTCACTAGTGCTTAAGAATATCTGTTTTTTTTGTTGCTGTTTCATTATTCTTGCTGCAGTGGAGATTAAATAGAATGCTAAAATAATTTTGGGGGAGGGGGTTTTGTATTACCTCCTGTACCAGTAGAGCTATTAGCTATTTTCTGTGACAACAGTGTACAGCATTATAACAAAATTAATTCACTAATTAATATAAAATCTTGTTCTGAGTTGTATTTTGTTTTTAAAATTGAATATCTATGCTATAGGTCTTAAACCAAAAACTGATTTAGGATAAATTTCAATCTGTTCAGCAACAAGAAAAGGAAACCAGAGTAGCTGAATTTTTGCATGTTACTAAAAAGTCACACTTTGTAATGACATGCAGAAAGGTTAAAAGGCGTCAAAAGGTTAAAAACAAAAGCACTGCTTTATCATGATTGTTCCTCCATGTTAGCTTTTCTTGAAGGATTACAGAATGGAGGAATATGTAATACCATAACCTACTCAAGAGTTCTTTTACCCTCCAGAAATTAATATGACATTTTGAAAAATGTATTACTATTTTCTTTGATTGTGAGATTTTATGATTTGAAAAATTCCTGCGTGAAACTTCAGGTATAAACTCAGAGAACCATTTCTTTGGCTATGGTTTAATAACCAGCCCATGAGAGTTTTGCAATTATTATGTGTAATTAAAAGGTCATGGTGGATGTCAGACCTGTGCTCCTCAGTTATTCTGTAATGAAGTTGATATTTATAAATAAGGTATCCTAAACTTTTGGATTAACCTATGGTAGCTGAAGTTATGCAGATAATTTTAGAAAGGGTAATAACACCCTATCATTTTCTGTGTGGAGGAGCATAACTTAGAACCTCGAGTCAATAGCAAAACATTGTTTTTTTAAAGTGTCTTTGAGTTTTTCTCAGTGTGTCAGGCGCCACACAAACAACACAGCTTTATCAGATTATGTCTGATATGGCTGAGCCTCTTCTAGGTTTGGCTCTGACCAGTAATCATGGGGCAATCAAGAATGCAAAGGAGGAAGACAGCCTGTAGGAGACAATGAAAGAGCTCACAGATTTTAGCAGAGTAAAAAAGAGAGAAACTAGAAAAATTCCAAAATGCAAATGGATGAGTAAGAATTACAATATAACATTCAGTGGTACAGTTGCAATTAGAGCTGATTTACTCCTCAGAGAGTGATAAAAGTGAGATCTCATGGATCCTGTCCTGAATCTGATGCTACTCAGTATTTCCATTAGTCATTTACCTGATGGAGAAAAGGTGATACTAAATATGAGTGTTTGGAAGACACAGAATGACCTTGATAAGTGAAAGAGGAATCAGACTGTTTGTAGCAGGTAGAAATAATTGGCTGCACTGCTAAGCAATTAGTTGAGCAGAAATTAACTTGTATTTACTAACAGTCAGTTGTTGTTCCTGAGTTATCAACATCACCTCCTTGCAAAATAGTCAAATGTCATATCAACAGACATATACAAACCAGTGCACATAAACAGCATGGGAACTAATTTATTCAATCGACACAGCTGGGGAAAGACTGAAGGAACTGGGGCTACAGAGTAGGGATGAAAGAAGCTGATTGTTGTCTATGCACAGGAGATTCAAAACCAACAAACATAAAAAGTGGGTTTACGTTAGAATGGAGATACAGATTCAACACCAGGAAGAGTTCTAAGGGCAGTGAAGCTGGAGTAAGTGCTTAAAATTATCTCTATTAGCAATACATTATATTCTTGAACTACACATATAGAAGTTATACCCCTTTAAAAGGACTTTTCTGGCATCCTAACAGGTTGACAATCTTTGCATAGTAAATAGGAATTTCTATGCCTGATTTAGGATTTTATGTGTCTTTACAGTTTATACAGTTAGATTCATTCTATGAACAGATGTTTAAAATACGGGTTTTTCTGGAAAGAATTAATTCACTTTTCCGAACTTTAGTAATTCTTCAATGCAGGTCCGTTAAGACTTGAAGAAAGTTAATATGCAGAAAGGAATTTTTATTTTTCTGATTTTAATTCCTTGTTCACTTAATTCTGGCCTGCAATGCGTGAGCATACTGCCAATGAAGTGGCCTTAAATTATCATTATGGACAAGTACTCTTCCACACCTGTAAATGTCATTATTTATACAAGTAGATTGTATACCATATGAATGACAAAAATTCCAGCATTAATAACATTTAAAATCACAGTGTGATAACTAAAAGGTAAGAAGCATGCCAATAGGCTGCAGTAATCAGGCTGCTGACCTTTGTTCTTATTAATGAATACCTACAGTATAATTTCTGTGCCTTGTAATAAAAATTTTATCCCTCCTCTAGACATTCTGCTCTCTTTTTCTACCTGGACTTTGAATTATTTACTGAGAAAAGCAGACACTGTAAATCTGATGCATACTGGAGTCATATTAAGTATCTGGGAACTGTTTGCTATAAACCAGTGAATTGATGAAATCTTTTTTGAGGCTTCACTGGACGTTGAATAAGAGCCTTATGTGTCCATGTTTTTTTCTGAAGGTCCTGTAGACACTGAACTAAGTAATAAGTAATACACAGGGGTAAAAGCTTGTTCTCACACGACTCAACTTGTCCTTGATAGCTACATCTACTATTTTTGTTACTTGGGAAGTGGAAAACCAATCTGTATGTAAGTGACCCTATATTTGCTGCTGGTATGTTTCACTTTCTTTAACTGCTATGATGAAATTATAGCTCTAAAACACCCAGACTGATAATTCCAGTATTAAAATAGCTTGTTTTTTAAAAATCCAAATGTAGCTAAACTGTTTGGGTTTTTTTAGCTATATCAAAAGCTGTTACTGCTGATGAATAGCACTCTTGACAATAAGAAAAATTACCAACTTCAAATAATCAGAATTATTCCTCATTTCAAAAAAAATAATTATGTGCATTACTTTCATTGATTCTCTGTGTATCCGAGGGTACCTGGTACTGAAAAAGAAAAATCACTCAACCTGTGACTTGAAAAGTATTCTCATTGAAAATTAAATCTGAAAATACAAACTGGGCTATAGAATCACCATTAAAAAGCAAATGATATTATCAAAATCTTAGAGTGAATCAACTATACAGAAGCTTCAACATCTTGAGACTTAAGTACCAAAATATCCCCAAATGCTCTGGAAAAGGAGAACTAAACACCAAACACCAAAGTCTGTTCTCTGTTGCTGGGATTCATCTCATTCTTATACTCTCATAACATTAACTTATGTGCAGGAGAGGCAGACTTATTAGGTAGTTACAGTCAATTGGAAGGCAGTATAGTAAAAGCTTACAAAAACCTGCTGCTCTTAGTTCTGCAGGATGCTATCGTGATTTTGTACAACCCAGGAATCCAAATAAAGCCTGTGGGGTTTTATTTGTTTGTTTGGGTTTGGGGGGTTGCTTTCCTTTTTGGTTTTGTTTGTGGGATTTTTTGTTTGATTGTTGGTGTGTTTTTTTGGTTTAGTTTGGGTTTTTTTGTAGCTCAGAGGTAGGAACATTTAAACAAATAATTTGGAGTACAGATATATGCAAACAGCCTATTTTCCAGTCAGGGTTACTTATTTTTTTGTGGACTTCTCTTCCTATTAGAAGGAATGAGAAGCATCTAGAAAATCTGTTACACTAAAAATCTTTTATCTCAGCTACCTAAAGTGCTTAATTGTATTGTGAACAGAAGCACAGAAAAACGGATATGTTGTAAGGGTCTTCTGGAGGTTGATCAACCTCATTGATCCAGCAGGGCCGCATAGAACCAGTTTCCCAGGACCACGTCCAGGTGTTTTTTAATATCTCCAAGGATGGAGACACCACCACCTCTCTGGGCAACCTGTGCCAGTGCTCGTTCACCCTCACAGGGAAAAGGAGTTTCCTGATGTTCAGAGGGAACCTCCTGTGTTTCAGTGTGTACCCATTGCCTCTGGTGCTGTCACTGGACACCCCTGGAAAGAGCCTGGATCCATCCTCCTTGCACCCTCCCTGCAAGTGTTCTATGGACATTGGAGAGATCCCCAGAGCCTTCTCCAGGATGAACATTCCCAAATCTCTCAGCCTTTCCTCATATATGAGATCCTCCAGCCTCTTAACACCTTCATGCCTTTTGCTGGAGTCTCCAGCCTGACTCTTTTCAATGTCTGTTCTGTCCTGGGGAGTCCAGGTCTGGGCTCAGCAGTCCAGCTGTGACCTCAGCAGTGCTGAATAGAAGAAAGGGCTCAGCTTCCCTGACCTGTTGGCAACATTCTTCTAGGGCAGCCCAGGACACCACTGCCCTTCTCTTCATTACACAATGGAACCTGAATGTGGTACTAAAATCCAATATCATATTTATTCATGTCAACTCCCCAAAGTAAGTGAAGGAGCTGACTTAGTAGAAGAAATAACCATTCTGTCATTCCCCTTTTCTGTAATACAGAATTTTTCCCTGGATATTTAATATATTTTAATGACTGTAGCCTCTCTTTAATAATGTAGCCTCTCTTCTAGGCTCCATCTCAAAGTACTGAAGTCATGATGACCTTTGATTTTACACAGCACAGAAAAGAAATGTTCCACTTCTGTTCCTTTTACAATTTCTAACAAACACATCTCTTACATCTAAATTTACACTGCTTTTACCTGCTTCCAAATACACACTGAGGTAAAAATAAAATGTCTTGTTTGGTCCATTAAAATCTTAAAGAAGTACAAGTTCATGTTGGCCATCCCTCCAAGGACTAACTGAACTTACTGAATCTAACCCAGATATTTCAGAACAGAATGCAAAAAAAAAGGCAAACTGTAAATTTAAATAAAATAATAATTGATTTATAAATATAAAACCTGCCTGTTAATAAGAGGCAATTACGGATTCACAAAAAACAGTTAGATTCAGGGAAGGTGGTATTTGCTGGAGTCAGTTAATATGATAATCTAACAGAGCAAATGAAAGTGTACTAAATTTTTATTTATTTTTATTTATTCAAGATTTATTGAATTCAATGTGAAAGTCTGACAAAATATATACCCTGAAAACATCTTTTTAGATATGTTGCAGGAATAGCCAACATACAACAGTGTGCTAAGAAGCATGTCTCTTCTATGTTACTCACCAGAGTCACTGTGGTTTGCTACAATAATAAATAATGCACTGTTAGAGCTCAGAAATATTCCTGTGGGTTATTGTGACCACTGTGGGTGGCTGTAACAGGACCAGGCCAGCTGATGAATCTGTGGCATAATAGATAGAGAGACTGGAACAATGGAGTTGCCAAAAAACAAATAACTTTTAATGTAAAAATAACAAACATAGAAACCACATGGTACAAGGGGCAATCTCCAAAGACCTCAAAATCCAGAAAGCATAGAAGTGTATAGATGGGGTGGAGGGCGCAGGATCTATCTATAACGAGGATAAGTAACAAAACCATATATGTAGCAGGCAGCCAGCCAACCACATATATATGGAAAGCAAGAACAACACCTTAATTGTAACAAACTGGTTAACATATTAATTCTCATGAGACAACTTTTCTTTTTATTCTCTCACCACAATGTAGAAGGATGTCCTTCCTCCTAGCTAGGTGTCTCCCAGAGTTTGAAGCTGAAGCTCTCTGCATCTGCAGGTGAAGCCAGCTCCTTGTCCACCCCAATTTCCACAGGTTATTTTTGTTGTATTGTTGGAGGTAGGGCCATTATAGCAAGAACCTCCTAACTTACCTGGGCTCCATGACTGTTGTCAGGCATGGAAATGGAATCTGGCAAAAATTGCCCAAGTATTCTGGTAGTGATTGCACCCCACTCTGAATTAGTTTGTACATCACACAGACAGACACACAGTCAATGCCACTTGATTCTAATAGGGGAGAACTGTCCTTATGGATATTAAACATATGCATCTGCTGAAAGAAAGGAGTTAGACATTCTCGCCTCCAGCATACTGGCCTTACTGTAATATACAAGTTAGCTAAGTAGAAAGGAAGAAAAATTATTGGTCATCATTTGTTGACAAGTAAACAAGAAAAACATGAAGCATCCATGAATCAAACTGGACACATTTCAAGCAAATAACTTAGAAAAGTCAATATTATGTCAGATTTTAGCCTCCATCTTCATTAATAACTGACAAATGCAACAAGCATCAGTGAAGACTGACATATATGAAGGAGAGGTATTGGGAAGGTTAGCACCATGTCCTGAAGAGCAGCAAAATTATTCACTGTGAAATATGCAGGCTCTTGTACTGAAGAAACTGTAATGTGACACACAAATAAGATATGTATAAGCAGAAAACTGGAAAGAAAAAATGTTGGCAGTAACCAAAATTATCCACGTACAATTGATGGGACAAGTTTCATATGGCAGAAGAAAAACAATTACAGTTATAAGGTATTTTGCATCTTGTTATGGGTAAAAAAAGGATAATGCAACAAGCCAGTATTCTTATTACAGTTTCATGAAGAACATTATATTTAATTGTTAAAAACAGTCAAAAGGAACCAATCATCCAACAGAATTCACCAATGAGCAACAATAATGACTTAATATTGGGGAACATGTTTCTGACTTAGGTTTCAGAAATAAAAAAAGACCAGGGCAGTGATCGTCTCCCCGCACTGGGCACAGGTGAGGCTGCACCTCAAATTCAGTGTCCAGTTTTGAGCCCTTCACTACAAGAAGGACGTTGAGGGGCTGAAACATGTCCAGGGAAAGGGCAACAGAGCTGGGGAAGGGTTTGGAGCACAACTGGTTTGTGCTGGAGATAGTGGAAAACCACTGGTCTAATGCCCAGATCCTTTGAGTTTCTGGCTCAGCCATGGACATGTGCTCCTGGTCAGAAGGACACTCTTGGTTATTAACTGTACATTTCCCTTAGTGAAATTAGGTGTTCTGAGCTTAAAACTGCACACCAAGTTTGAGCACTGATATAATACCATGACTGAATAACAGCTGAGAGTTTATGCTCTATGAGAAAACAATCACATAGCAAGTCCACAAGATTTGGACTGATGTCCCCTAAAGCTTTGGGAATAAGATGAAGGTGCTTTTGCATTTGTAATGAACAGAAAAACTGTCTACGTAAACACAAAAGAGATGGAAACACCTATCATTTTCTATAGGTATGGCTGAGGTTTGTAGAGAAGACGCAGGGGTGTTTTGAGATTCAAACTTAAAATGTGCCTTTATGGACAAGGCTATATAGATTTCATGTGCAATGAAATGAAAGGATGTTGAGGTCAAGAGAGTCCATAGTAACAATGTTACTATGTTAAAGTTCTGTTAAAAATACTTCAGCAGCATGCAAAATACAGCATACAGAATCATTTTAGATTTGATTTTAAAGCATAGACAAGTTTTATTTTCCATTATATGTTTTAACACTGTGTCTCGGTTTGAAAGAGAAGTGTCTGCTAAGGAAGGCAGGAGCCTGTCTTGAAATGGAAAATGTAAACTCCCTTCCTTCAAATTATTATAATTTTGAAATTAAGGAGCTCTCAGGCAAAGGTATGGGAATAGGAATAACAGTTCTTTACTAGGAATATTAAAATAAAAATGCAGTAATACAAAACGAAAATACAGACAGAGTCAGAATACAACCTGACACCCCATCAGTCAGGGTGTTGGTAGCAGTCCCATTAAATGGTGGCTGCAGTCCTCCTGGAGTGACAGATGTGGTTCAGTTGAAGCAGTGATCCTGTAGAAGGGTGCAGTTTTCCTCCAAAGGTCCAGTGATGATGTAGAAGGGTCAGGTTTTCCTCTGGAATCCAGTAGAAAAAGGCTGCTCTGATGTTCCAAATCTCAGATTTTATTTAGGTAGGAAATGCTTGGCTCCTCCCCCTGGGTGGAGCATCTCCCAATGTGATTTTATCAGTCATTCAGTGAGACTCAGTGGCAAATTAACAGAAGATATCTCTCTGGAGGAAGGATGGGTTGTGGAAAAGATAATAAACACTGCCCCACCTGGGTTTTAACAGATGGTGATAGAGTACATACATTTGGTTACATCCTTCATTGCAACCCAAGGAACATTGTTTAAATTTTACAGCATTACAGCATAATCTAGACAAATTCTAGGACATTTAAGGATATTTTGGATATTTTATCAGCAAACTGTGACTAAAGGGTTATGGGCCCATCTGTCAAGACAAATTAGATCAATCCCTGAGCAATGTAGAGGGCCTATGTAATTCTGTCAGCCTTAAGAACTGGATGGGCATTTCATGATTTGCCTATTGTCTCAGTCTCCAAGAGAAATTAATGTGACCTGATGCTCACTGATGAAAAGAGTTACGACTTAAGCTAAACTTCTACTGTTACAGAACAATGTGTTCAGGATCAGTTACATACTGAACTTCCCAGAAAAGAAAATGTTTTTGTTTTATTTATGAAGAAATCATAAAGAAGTACATAGGAAAATTAGGATTAGCAATGAAAGCAGAAACCCTAAAGAGAAAAGTATATGGGAGAAGGAAAAATTATCCTTAGATCATTTAAAGCATTGTAAACTTCCGCTTCTCAGTTGTGAAATGGTTATTACAAAGAGTTTAATTAGGAATGCAAGTCTGTGAAAGTCTTGCAGGCTGTGGACTTCTGTCTCATAAATGCAGTAAATTTAGGGCTGTATTTAGCTGAGATATTAAATGCTATCATTTCTGAATAGCTAACTTTCAGAATCTTCTGCCTGCCTGTTGGCTTGACTGATTTGTGTTGAAGCAGATGACCAATACCCCTGGATGGATCTGGACTGAAAGTTATTTGGTGGTCAGTGGAAGGGTAAGTAAGATCCTCTACTAAATAGCCATTAAGCAAAGATATAGTTACCATGGGCCGGATTTGTCAAACCTATGTTCTAAAAAAACATCATTGAAGATTTATTTTGAGATTGTGACAAGTAGAGAAAAATGAGTAGTCACACAGAAAAGCAAAAACCACTAGGGCTCAAAATAATGTTGTTGACAGCACTAGCACTGGGAGGAAAAGTCCAACCCAGAAAAGGAGAAGGCACAGTCATGGGCAAAAGAACCACAGGCAACAGAGAGAGAAAAAAAAAGAGAAAAAAAAAAAAAGAAAAAAAGAGAAAAAGAAAAAAATTCAGTCTATATATTTATTACTGTACGAGGAAAACCCCTGTGACTAAAGATATGCCTTGGAAATGAAAGCACATTTGATCTTAATGTTACCAGAAGCAAATGGAAGTTGAAAAATGCTACTAAGTATGCAGAGACCATGTATAGACAATAAAAGTGCAAGCAGGACTTAATAAAATGCTCCAGGATAACTGTTTTTGAAAGTATTCTCCCACAAAGTCAATGAACAAAAATCCAAGACTATGGATTTTTTTTTGTCCTACTTAGGATTGCTTCAAATTCCAAATTAATTTATTGTGAATTTTAAGACTTTTAAAGATACAATTAGAATTGGAGATCTTTTCATGTTAAGGATCACATTAAAACCAAACCTTACTCCAGCAGCATGTTCAAGCTAGTTCATTATTTCCACACATGAAAATGCAGCAGCTCAGTTACAATTTTCCCTAAGGACTGAATGCATTATAAACGCAATAACAGCAAAAATGAAAACCAGCCCTACTTGGGAATAGAATAATTATATTTCTAAACCATTTTTCACCTGTTTAAACAAAATGCATTACAATGTTCTGCAGCCTCCACAGAACTAGCTGATTCATATATATACACATGTACATATCCCTGTTTTAAATTCCCACTCTTTATTAATTTTGCCCTGGCACTTTGTCTCTTTTTTGACTCTGAGCTCCACAGAGTCCAAATACACTCCTCAGAGCATCTGTCTTTCAGAGCTGGGACAACATCTAACATCCAGCTGTCACTAACATATACAGGTAAAAAATAATACAAATAATGAATAATATGAATAAGTGGCAAGGAAGATTTGGGAGGATAAATTTACCCTTCAGAGGTCGTGTACAAGACATGATTAAATATCTAACAGACTCAATTTTAGAAGTAGTGAATATGGCTTATTTTAATTATTAGTTTTACAGGAGTCATCAATTATAGCTTGAGATACAAATTGTCTACTGCTAAAAGCTAATAATGGGGAAGGCACTATACATCCTCAAATCTCTCTATTTTAAAAACAAATCTCTGGCATGGAACACAGTTCCCTAATCCATTGTATGTATTCTGCTTGCCAAACCCAGCGATAAAATATGCAAAAAATTCTACAGAGGCAGCAGATGTTCTTGACAGCAAAGAGTTTGCACAGTGAAAGCACGTGGAGGTGGTTACAGCAGTTTTGTCTGCTGATGTGTCCAGCAGGTCATTGCTGGTGTAGGTCAAAGGAAGACAGAGCTTCTTTTGAATATGAAGTTGCTCAAAGAAAACAGTTGTTGGCCCAGGCCTAATGGAATAAAAGAAAGAATCTTAGCCTGAATCTTGGCCTGGCCTGTGTTTTTTTGCTGGATCTTGCCAGCACTGTCAATGTCTCTAAAGAAAGAGGCACAGAGTGCACAGAGCTGTACACCGAGGTTATTAAGGCCTAAGAACTACTGAAGGTTGGAGATAACTTGGAAATGGGAAGATTTAGGTATTAAATCATAAATTAACTCAGTTCCAAAGCAAAACCAAAGCATTACTTTACTTAAATTGCAGTGCTTGCCACATATATATTACTAAAAAGGTATAAAATTATTGTTGTGCAGCAGGAAATGTGGTATGAGATGCTGAAATGCTATATACACGTCTGGACAAGTTGTGGGCACATCTTTATACAGACAGTCACGCTCTGTCTCTGAATTCTGGACTCTGAGACAGATAGCCAAATAGAAAAGCAACCCCTCTAACATTCACCTGTGTTAAGAACATGCAACGTTGTGTTAAGAACTGCACATTGGAGAGCCATGTTCTTTCCACTCAGCAGACGGCATCATTTCAGGTTTGATCCCTGTATGGGTCACTCACTTAAGAGCTGGACTCAGTAATCCTGCTGGGCTCCTTCCAACTCAGAATATTCTGTGATTTCTGGTTGTGATTTCATGCCATCACGTCTCAGATCACAGAGCATTGACACAGCTGATTCTGTTAGAGGCACATGTCACACGTGCAGCATGGGGTACAGCACCATGGCACCATACTCCTCCCTGGTGTAGGAATTTTGGACTCATTGGTGACCCTTCTGTCCCCATCCCTGAGCATCAGAAACTGAGTAGTCAGACTGCTTGTCTCTGTTGGAAGAGGATTGTCCCCATTCTCTCTGTCTTCAGGCCTAGAAAATCCACTCTGTACTGGTTTGGGCTGGGTTAGAACAGATTTTACTCATTGGGGCCTCAGTCTTAGGAGATTTATCCTTAGGATGTATTCATTTCTTACAGGCTGGGTTATTGCTGCTCGACAAAATAAAGGTAACAAAATGAAGCAAAAGCAAATTCTGAGTCTGATTTTTTTTATTTCCAGTGATATGATTTGCTACAGTTTTCACATGTGTTAGAAGTTGGCATCTCTGATCATCAGAATGCCAGTATCTTCTATCTTTGTATAAACAGATCATTTTATAAAGGAATATTTGTAATTGTATGTAATATTTGTTCTGTGGAGATTTTTAATTGCTTGACAATTACTGAACAATACAGATTTAAAGCCTGATCTTACATATTTTATGATTAATTTAACAGAAAATGTACCAGAAAGCATTCCAGTGAAAAATTAATTTTATTAATTATAGGGTTTTTGTTTTAGTTCACAAGTACAAATATAAAAAAAAATCAAATCTTAATGAATTTCTCAGAAGAATAGTATGTTTCATTGCTGCTAAGTAGTCAGGAAATAAGGCAGCTTGAACAAAGGACAAAGGAACAAAGTTCCTAACAAAAACAAATAAAATTTAATAAAAACAAACAAGGAAGAGATTTTATGTGCTTCAAGCAAAAGAAAAAAGATAGCAATTTATTAATATATTGAAGGCATGCAAACTATTTAAACATATCTGCTTTTGTTTGCTGGGATTTTAAATTATTCCAGAAAGTAGGAAAGAGCTATTAACCTCTAAACACAATTATGTCAACTTGGCGTAAGATCTTTAGAGGAGAAAAGGCTTTATGAATTGGGGTTTTAACCATTT